CCAACACCACCACCACACACACCACCCACAACAAAAAAAAAGAGAAAAAAGGGAAAAATTTCCCCCTGGAATTTAAAGCTTAGTAAAATTCTTAATGAGAATTTTACTGAGTAATTTACCGAGTAATTTACTGAGAATTTACTGAGTGATTTCCTCGGAATTTAAAACTGAGTAATTTAACCTGGCGTCATGTTCCTGAGTAGATTTAACTAAGAATTCATGAGTAAATTTACTGTGATTTTATTGAGTATTTTCCTGTGAAAATTAAATGAAAAATTTAACTTCCGAATTTTCGAAGTAATTTACTACAAGGATTTACTAGGATTTTAATGAGTAATTAATTCAAAATTTAATAATAATTTAAGTGATTTTCTGAGAATTTCTTGGGAATTTAATTAGTAATTTACGGAGAATGTACAGAGTAATTTACTGGGAATTTATTTGGAATTTTCTAAGTAATTTACTTTATAATTTTCTGAGTAATTTATTGAGAATTTACTGAGGAATTTACCGGGCAATTTACTGGGAATTTACTGAGTGATTTACTCAGAATTTACTACGTAATTGACTTAGCAATTTACTGGGTAATGTTCTAAGTAATTTACTGCGAATTCAATGAGTAATTTCCTGAGATTTTATTGAGTAATTTACCGTGAAATTATGCAAAATTTACTTCGAATTTTCTAAATAATTTACTGAGGATTTACTAGAAATTTACTGAGTAATTAATTGAGAATGTACTGAATATTTTCCTGCGAATTTCTTGGGAATTTAATTAGTAATTTAATGAGAATTTACTAAGAATTTACTGGAAATTTATTGAGAATTTTCTAAGTAATTTACTTTATAATTTACTGAGTAATTTAATGAGAATTTACTGAGTAATTTGCTGAGTAATTTACTGGGAATTTACTGAGTGATTTACTCTGAATTTACTTAGCAATTTACTTAGCAATTTACTAGGTAATGTTCTGAGTAATTTACTAAGAATTCAATGAGTAATTTACTGGGATTGTCACGCCCCCAAACCGCCCCTAGTAGTTTGGTGCCGTGATGGCCAGTAACCCGAGGTTTCCGAAAGCCAACTTACAAAAATCACACACAATCAGAGTATAAAATATGGGGCTTACAAGAGCGGAAGCAAAATATACATATGAAACTAAGTGGTCCATGAGAGCCGTGCATAAGTCCAATGGAATGTCATACATCAAACATCTCTACAAGTCTTACAATTTAGATACAACAAGAATGAAATACAAAATACATCCTGACTAAAAGGCTTCTCAAGCCGACATATGCCAAAACAACCAAGAGAAAACATAAGCCGAGAAGCATAATCTTCAAGACGATGCAAAACGCAAATCCAAAACATGTCGGCTATGCGCCCAAAACACATCGGCATCACGCCTAGGCCTCAATGCCTTCTTGTTCATCACCTACATATATATAGAGAGGGTGAGCTTGGATACTCAGTGAATGATATTAGAAATAAAGGTTTGCATGATTGATATCCAAGATTTCTTTCAAAACAATACATAACATACTCTACAATCAAGAGGGAAATCAAGTTCATTGCCGGCCTTTCAAGTTCTTTGGATGTTATTACATCTACTTAATACAAGAGGGTGATGACAATTCCAAGACAAGAGTGCAGTTGCATTATAGTCCCCTGCAACTAAGGACTTTCAAGAAATGTCATCAAAACAAGATAGTGTTTAATATACAAGTAGGGATAGTCATTCATGCTAGATCAAATACTTTTCAAAACAAGGCAAGACGAGATTTATGAAAGCAAGTGTAACATAGCTTTATTAAAAATACCACTCACATAATTCTTCAAACGTCGGGGTCAAGCAAGGTCCAAGTCCTACAATCACATGGCAAAGCGTACTTGAACATATTCCTCAAAACAAGTCTAACATGCATGCAAATGATTTTTGGAAAACCTACTGGGCACCAACCAGGTCTAAGCCGAGGTGTGTTTCCGAGGGCCACATACAAGGAAAAGAGGTAGGGAAACTCTGGGTTTCCCTCTGCCGTTGAATATGCAGAACATGAGTATGAAAACATGGAAAATATGCACACTACTTGCATTTTGCATGCATTCAAAGAGAGAGAGTTGGAATTAATTAGAGTTACTGAGAATTTACTGGAAAATTTGTGCAGGAATTTTCTAAGACTACTTTACTTTAATAACACTGACTGAGATTTCTGAGTAGTTTTAATTGAATTTAGATAAGTAAGTACCGAGTAATTTACTTGGAGTGATCCATTTATTTCGGAATTTACTACTTAGAGGAATTTCCCTGGGTTAAGGTTCTGAGTACATTAACCCTGAGAATCAATGAGTAATTTACACTGGATGATTTTTTGGAGGTAATTTACATTTCAACCTTACCGGACCACAGTGAAAATTGCAAGAAAAAAAAAGATTTAAACTCTTCGAAACAAAGACTTTCTAATAGTTTACGTCAGGATTTGACTATAGAGAATTTACTGGAGTAATGAATAATTGGAGACTATACTGATGAATTCCGAGAATGTTTTTAAGGCAGAGTAAGCGATTTTTTAAGATTTTTTGTCAATTTACCGTAATTTTACGATACGTACTGGGAATCTATAGGAACTGTCTAAATAAATTTACTTAATTTCGATAATTTACATTGGAATACTGAGGTTTACCGGCAATACTGGGAATGTACTGCGAGTGATTACTGCGAATTTACAGGTAGGACTTAGCAAGACCATAAATCTTACTTACCTGGTATGGCTAAGTATACTTGCAATCATGAGAATGTCCTGGATTTATTGAGTAATAGGCGTGAATACAAAAGTACGTTCGAATTTTTCTAAAAATTTACTCGGAGGATGTTACAGAAATTACTGAGTATTATCTGAAGAATGGGTTAACTGTATTTCGACTTGCGATTTCTTGGGAATTTAATTAGTGCACTCTGAATGGGATTTATAAGATACTGGAAATACTTATGAGAATTCTGAGTAGCTACTGTCAAGGTACTGAGTAATTTTAATGAGATGTTACTGGAGATAATTGCTGAGTAATTTACAACACGGGATTTATACTGTATGTGATTCAAGCACACCTGCGCATATTGAAACCTGGCGTGTATGTCTGTAGTTAGCGAATTTACTGTTAGCAATGTTACTAGTAATGTTCTGATATTACTAAAGAATGCACATGAGTAATTGACTGGGATTGCCGCCCCGAAACCGCCCCTAGTGAGTTGGTGCCGTGATGGCCAGTAACGAGTTTGCGAAAGCACTTACAAAATCACACACAATCGAGTATAAAATGGCTTCAAGCAGGAAGCAAATTATATAACTAAGTGTCCATAGAGCCGGCTAATCAATGAATGTACCATCAACATCTCTAGCAAGTCTTACAGATTAATCAACAAGAAGAATACAATACATCTGACTAAACGGTCTCAGCCGACATAGTGCAACAACCAGAGAACATAGCGAGAGCTCATAATCCAAGCGATGCAAAACGCAATCCCAAACTGTCGCTATGGCCCAGAACCATCGGCAATCAGGCTGGCTTAATGCCTTCTGTCATTCCTCACATATATTAGTAGAGAGGGTGAGCTTGGATACCGTGATGATATTAGAATAAAGGTTCAATGTATTGATGTCCAGAATTGCTTACAAACAAACTAGAAAGACTTCACAAAGAAAAAGTCAAGTTCATTGCCGCTTTCAGTTCTGGATGTGGTAAATTATATTTCAAGGGGGAGACATATCAAAAGAGGCAGTGCTTATAGTCCGCTGCAACTAAGGACACTTTCAG